AAAGGGAACTTATGTCTGTGGGGAGACTATACCTTATTTTTGCGATGAAGTAATGGCCAAAATGATCCAGAAAAGGCCAAAATATCAACTGGGACCTAGGTAATTAGGATCTCTTCTTTTGTAACTCTAGGTGTTAACTGGCCTTTGGTTATTCTCCCTCCTTTTTCCCTTTTTCTTGCGGATTTAAGGTGTTTAGAATACTGAGCAGGGCAGGAAAGCCCAGAGAATGGAGTGACATAATGATTTTTAATTTTTCTCCAATATGTAATATCCTTAAGCTGAGTACATTAACTCAATAAACTTGAACTCTTTCTTTCGACCCTGCAGCCTGTTCGGTGTGAATCTGATTGAACACAAAATAATAAACCAAACTTGGTGCAGCTTACAAATAATTTTTCCTTTTATATACATATGTGGAAGAATTTGCAATACACTTTTTAGCTGAAAACTGTATCACTATAGGATCTGGACTCTAGAGTTTCCTTACTGGACTGCATGAAATGAATGGTTTGAGCGATGAGATCTGCCATAAAAGGGGACATTCAGAAGAAATGACGCTAAACGGGTCCTGATCCCAGAACCTGGTGTCTCTTTAAGCATTCAGAAGTCAAGAAATGCTCTGAAAAGTCTCTTTAATTCTTATCTTGACTGCAGATGTTTTTTAATGTAAAATTATTATTACTTTAATAAAGAAAAAAACTTCTCTTAGGAGTTGTATCTAAGCTTACATATGAGAGGAACAGAGACTTTGAGTTAGTTTAAATCAAAGGTCTCAGCAGAAGATGGCAGTTGAGGAGAATTTTGATGCTTAGCTCTTCGAATTGGGAATGCTGGTTTGTTTTGTAAATCTATGCTTTTTAGTTTTTGATTTAGCTAAAGGTATGACACATATCTTCATACCTGAAGTTATTAAAATCCAATTATTTCTCAGCTTTCTAAATCCCGAGCAGCTTTTCTACACTTAACTTTGCTTTGTTCTTGATGAGCTTTACAGGTCATGCTTGAACTGTCAACCCTGCAATCGAAACTAAATTCTGCTTTGTTTATCCACCTGAGTAACCAGTAGGTGCCAATAAGAGTATTACAAACTGTTAAATACAGGTGGCAAGGTGAACAAAGCCACATCATCTGCTATCTGTAGAGTTCTGTTTTTCTCAGTGTTAATGTAGCATGAACTCAGATGTCACTGGAGAGTTCATTTCACCTCCCCCAACCCTTCTTGTGACACTGCAAATGCTTGAGCGTGGTGATGCTGAGACCCTTATAGTTGGTGTCATCAGTGGCTACTGGGAGCTGCCTGTTAGCACTTGGGTTTTATGTGCCAAGCCCTGCTTGATGGAATCTAGATGCAGGACCTGTTGAATACTGTGGTGTGATGGTAATGGGGGGAAATAAAAAAAGCAACAGGATGCACACCTTGAAGAAGATTTTTGTAACACATTTGTGACCTCTTGGAAGGTCCTCAGGACCCTCGAAAATGTGTCTGGAAGCATCGTGTGATTGCTCTGGTGCTGTTTTTTGCCTATGTGCTTTTATCAAAAGAAGCACTTCACTGAAGCAGATGTCTGGTTAGATAAGGTGATCATTTTGCTTGTAACCAACTAACAAACACTAGTTTGCTGTTGCTTTTGTTTGAGGTTGGCATGCAGATCATTACTTCTCTCATCCTGTTGCTAGACAGGTTTAGCTGAAGCCAGAGTAAATTGTTTAAGCTGGAGATGTAAATCAGACAAGTTATTATCAGGTTAAAAGCACTGGTCAGCTGGGTTTTTTAGAATGAAACCAAACAAAACTAAGACCAGAGCCCTTCTGATGAGAACAGTGGCACGTAGATGACTTAATGACGGATTAGGGCCGTGTTGTCAGCTTCTGTGAATCTTTCCCAGCCTGTGTAGTGACCACAAGTCTGACTAAAGCATACCTGATGGTGAAGGGTAGGGGATTAAAGGGTCTTTGTGGTCCAGCTCAGGGTGAGCGGGTCTCTGTTGTAAACAGTCTCCTGCCTTTTCAGGTTTTGTAGCGGGGTGAAAAAACTCCAACCAACCTATGAAAATGCTTTATTCTTATCCTTCCATGCCTGAGGACCTGGTGTGGGGCACGTGGGCAGAAGGCCTGAGAAACATCCAAAGAAGAAAGATGTTCCTCCTAGGAAGTTGCAACCACAGTTTTCAAAGCTGCACTAAGAAGCTTTCAATGTAATGAAGCTTGCTTAGGTTTAAACAAACAAAAAAAAAATTGTTTTCCTTCTTCGGCTCTAGAGGGAAAAGCACAACCTCTGACACATCTCTTGACTGTTGAAAACCAGTTCTTCTGAGACAGGACAATGATTTCTCCCTTCAGGTACAGATGATGATTTGCAAATGTAGGGGAATAACCAAAGGGAAGTAACTGTGGTTTACCAAGGTGGGGGAAGTATGATCATGAGATGACAGAGCAGCTACTGCCTAGCAGCTACCTTAGTGCCCAGGAGACTGACTCTTCATGTGGGAGGCAGGGTAAAAATGCTCTTGGTGACCCAGAACTGAAGAGTGTGTAAGGAGTGCTGCATTACCCTGATATGTGGCCTTTCCTGGCTGAGCAACCAAACGAGCGTAGCTTTTACTCTTATGACTTTCAGTAGCCAGGAGTGCTCAAACTCCACTCTGCATTAGTGGCTTGTTGGCATGCTGGGGTTTGAAGCTGGTGTCTGCTGAATGCAATAGATGCCTGGACTTTCAACCTAGAAATAAGACCTGAAAAGTCACATCTCTATGTACACTTTCCTTGTTTGCCCTGCCAGGGCAGAGGTAAGGCAGCACAACCTTAGCCTGGCAAAGTTGGGATCATACAGTTCATCTCCCTTCCTCAATCCTTGCCAGCATCTAGCCAGGACAGAGCCTGTTTGCTGGAGTCTCGTATTCCTGATGTGATGTCACCTCATTTGCTGCTGGGACTTAGGATAGACCTTGAACTGTAGACAGTATCAGGATTATTATGGTGCTGTTTTGCCTTTGATCAGTGCAGCAGAGGGTATGTGCTGGGAATGCAGGGATGTTCCTGACAGATTTTGACAGTCTCTTTGTTTCTGCTGTTGTGACAGTTCACACACAGCTTGAGACTTTTCTGGTTACAGTTGGCTGGAGTGCCTTGGCCCATAATGTCTTTAGTCCCTTGAGACCTTGAACTTCAGTCAGCACAGCTCCAGATAAAATGATGGAAAATGTCTTGTTTTTATCTGAAGAAGAATTATCAAATAGGTTGCAAGGGGAATATAGTTGTGTGTGTGTCTGAATGCCAGGAGACAAATGGAATTCATGTAGAAAGAGTTTGGATAGAGGCTGAGGAAGCAATCGGATTAATCTCTTTCCATTTCCATATGTAACGTCTATTGCATCTCTACTACCCTTTTTCCTTGCTTGGTGGGGTAACTTACAATCTTAATTTTTAAGAGAGGGGGCTTCAAGTGTTAAAATGGGTACAAACCTCTGGGATTATATCTATATACTGCCCTTGTGTACAAAATACAACTGCTTCTGGGACGGAGAAGAGGGCTAAAGAAATGCATGGTGTGACAAAGAGCAGGACATTGTACCCAGTGGAAATTGTGGGGAGAATTTTAGAAGCCATGGAAGTAATTACTGCATTGTAGTTGGAATTTGTTTCTTAGTGTGCTGTGTAATAATTTCTGACCAAAACAAGCCAGGGCTTTGTAGTCTAGAATAGTTTCACCAAAAATGACAGCTCTAGCTTCCAGAACCTCAGTTTGGAAGTGGTGTGGTAAGTGTGTGCAATGTGATAAGTTATTGACATAGCTTCCCACAGAAACCTGTTGGGAGGGCAAAGGACTAGTGGGTTGTCCTGGATGTTTTCCTTAAATGTGCTCCATCAAAAGCATTGTTTGCCACTGATGTTCAGTGGATTTGAATTTTACAGTCCCTGTACTAAAACAGTAGGATGTAAGAGTGGAGAAGGGCAAATCTTTCAACAGCTTTGCTTTCCTCCCAAACCACTTTTCTGTGCTACTGCTTGCTTCTGCTGTCCCAGAGATAGCTGAGCCAGATGGCGATAGCAGCTAATGGAGTTGAGGGAAGGGTAAAAAAAAGGTTACTTTTTAGTCTGAGTCCCAAGTTCCTTCTTGGATTCCCTGGTCCTTTTCCCCAAAGCCATTCTGGAGGTCACCATTAGCTTCAGTTTTCCTTCTACTCGTTTCCTTCAACTTGTTTAGTAGAGAAGTCACTAAGGGGATTTTGACACATTCCTCAGTTTCTGCCCTGTGAATTAGAGAGTACTGTCAGAGTTGGCAGATCTGAGGAGTTGAGGTTTAGTTAATTTTGCACTAGAGATATAGTTGTCAAAATTTGGGGAAGTTTTGGGTTTCTTTTTACCTTCTATAACTCAGAATTCCAACACTACATGTTGTCATGGTGTCTGTGCATTTCACAACAGCCTAATTTTCATCAATACCATCACCATTTTGCAACTGAAGGAATTACTGTACCCTTGGGCTTTGAAACATCTTCTACAGAAGAAGCTATCTATGGCAGAACCTGAAGGAACACCCACAGAAAAGTTTTATCAGATGCACTTCTTGTACTGTCTGTGTTTCACTTCTGTAGCAAAACCATCTGTATTGTCAAAATACTTGTTTGCTCTAGCTTGAATTCCAGTTGACAGCCTCAGCCAAAAAGATCCATGCTGGATTAGCCTGAAGGTGTGAACTCTTGGGCTCTTAGAGGATTCTGCAGTGGAAGACCAGCTCCCTTTGTTCAGGACAGCAAGCAGACTTGGGCAGCAGCCTCTGTGCTGGGTGAAAGGTCTGGCAGTTTGGGTATTTGTCTTAGTGCAGGAATTAATGGCTAAAAATGAGTAACTATTTTGCGAAAACTTACGTGACTGCTTATCCCTACTTCAGAGCTGTCTCCAGAAAGTAGCAGAAAGTACTTCAAAACATGGAAGAAAGGTGAAGAGAAACCTGTCGTGAATAACTGTGGTTTCTTTTTTTTTTCTTCTTTTTTCTCTAGGTCCTGTGTTTAATGTCTCAGTGCATTCTGACAACCCAACGATTTACCAGGGCGAACTAGCAGATTTGCTGTGTATCGTTACAATGGAAGGAATGGCACTTGAGCCAGGTATTTTGGCAAAATTATTTTACTTTTAACTCATTTGCCTTCACTAGGCAGAATAATAATGTGTCCTTTGAGTGAGGCTAGAGAATTGAGAACCAGCACTGAAAATCCTGTAGAACTAGGTAAACACAAGAGAGTGTTTGCTTTACGCAGCCCAGTTTAAAAACAAGCTTTTTGTTTCACATTGAGGGGAAGGAAAAAAAGTGCTCTTGCTGCTAAATCCCCCTGTGCTGGCTGTACCAAGTGACCCTGCTGCTGGCAATCTCAGCCTACAACCACTAGATGGGCCAGGAAAACTATTCCTGTTTCTTTTAATTGGAAAGGAGGTCCGTTGGCAAAACCTGTTAGGAGAAAATGGTCATCTGTAAACATATCTTAGTCACCTGGCCAGTCAGCTTCACACTTCAGAGCTGATGTAAGGCTTAATGTAAATCTAAAAATCACAGTAATTGACTACTGCAGCTTAAATACCAATGATGCATGTTTATTGCTGGTGCCTTCAGATGTGAGCCTCCTTTTTTGTGTGGAAGAAGAAAGAAACACAGTACCTAATTGCTGTGAAAAGGATAACGGACACTTTAAAGGCAAATTTTTATGAAGAGCTGAAAAGTTCAGAGAATTGCTCAAAACCTAGCTGCTTGCCAAGCATTGCCTGAGCTGCTTTTCATCAAAATGCTGTGAGAATAACTGGTTATTATACCCAAAATTTGGGGTTGAAGTGAGCTTAGGGTTGTTTTTTTAAAGTAATTTTCTCTATATATAAATATAAAAAGGTATTTAAAATAAATCTATAAATATGTATGTAAATAAAAGTATATGAATGTATATACCTGAATATAAACATGTCATGATTTTTAGGAAACTTAGAAATCTACACGTAAGCTGCTACAGAAGAGGTGCTGTGCAGAAAATATTACTTGTAATGTAGTAGCTGATGAGATGAAGTACCAAGCTTAGTAAAGGCCCATCGCTTTGAAATTCCAAGATGTCTGTTCTACATTTAAATCTAAGTGTAGCGGGGAAGCAATTTGCCAGATTGTGTGCTGCCTGCAAAAAATGATAGAAGTATGTAGATTGTATAATTGAAATGCTTGGTAGGGAGAAAAGCTGAGTAAACTTTATTGCTGTCAAAACATTCGTAGCCTGGGCTATTGGACACAGCGAGCAGTGGTGTGTGCCTGTACATATACCTCAGTCTGTCCTGTGATCTCTGCTCAGCAGGAAGTTGAGGTGTGCCCAGGCTCTTGCAGGTATTGTGGCGAGGCAGTACCCAAAGCCGCTGGCTTCCTTTGCAAAGCAGTAATTGCTGGCAGGGAGCAGCTGCTGCTTCTGCTAGTGTTTGACAGCTAAAATAAGCTTGGGGTTGCCTTGTGAAAGAGGCCTCAGCATCCCTGACTCACTTAAAGCTTGAAAAGAGGCCACTTAGTAGCAGTAGGGCTTTCCCCTCAGTGCTCTGCTGCGATTGGGTTCGTGATGGTTTTTTGTTTGGTAGCTTGAGACTGGGAGAAGCACTGACAAGAACAATCAAAGGGATTGAAGTAAAAAGGTGTCCTCTTTGAGGAGCTGCTTGTTAGCACAATTACGTTTTAATTGTGTCTGTTGAATTGATAGACGATGCCTGGAATTGGAAATGTGCTGTTCCAGCTGTTGCGAGCAGCCAGCGCAGAGTTTTAAATGTCAGCATTGTAATCTGTTCCATAGCTGGGTAATGTCATCTTGAAGATCTCTGTCTCTGTGGTGGTTTTTGTGTTGTTTTTGTTTTGGGCTTAGGGCTTTTTTGAGTCTGTAATAGGGAAGATGAGGCATAGGCAAGAGTTATGCCTAGAATGGAGTAAAGCGTGGTATTGTGGCAGGTCTCGAGAGAACCTTTCAGTCAATACCCTGAGCATCCAGTTCCTGGTCCTCTGGATGAGACCAGCAGAAATGCTGTGAGGAACAGCTAGAATATATGCTTTAGGGTGTGCAGACTTCCTTTGTCAGTCTGCCTTCTCGGCCTTGAGAGATGGAGAGAATTAGAGAGGTGGGATAACAAAGCAGGTTAAGTTGAAGAAGGGCCTTAAGGGCTCAGGTGATAACAAACAGATGTAGTTCCTCGGTAGTAACTTTATTCGCCTGTATCCCGTCTCTGATCTGCCTCTGTGCTGAGTCAGTATCACAGTGTAATTCATGACTGGAATGGAGAACTTGCTTTTTAAATGAGTGCCAAACATTAGACAGACTCTGAAAATAACAGAGCTGTCTCATCCCAGTGGGGAAATGAGGCATATTGTTATGGAAAGCCTACACCAAGTGATCAGATAAACAGAGTGAGAGTTGCCAGCATCTCCTAGAAGAAAACAGGTGACATAAGTACAGACTTCTTTCCATTTGGGAATTTGATGAGAAGGGAGAGCAGAGCAATGGCATTTGACTGCCTTCTGAGGGGCATGATGGCTTTCAAAGGCCATTGACTCATTGGGTGTCAGACCTTGCTGCAGAGCTGTGTTTTGGGCCCTCTGGTGAGCAAAAGAGGATTAGTGTGTCTTCTTAAATGCGCATCCAAAGCATTTTAAATGCACTTGCTATGCCAGCCAGCTCTGCTCTTGTACATACAGGCATTCAACTTTGGAAGCATGCACGTGGATTAATATATTTGCTTCCTGTAGTAAGTTCAGGTGTCAGGTGCCACCTCTTCTTCCCTCTTTGTATGCACAATCAGAAAAATAAACTACTTCAAGGAGCTGAAGAAAATTTAAATGACCAGTGATCTTTGTCAGTGCCCTTCATTGCAGTTAGATTGATCCATTTGTTTCTAGAAGCATTACTTGTATGTCTGGTAGAGGCAATTCACAATCCTCTGTGTGTGTGTTTGTGTGTGCCCACCCTGTGGGAAATCTTTGAAGGGGTGGAAGAGGCTCTGGTGTGACTGCTGCTTGCTTTAATTTCCTCTGCTTCTTTGAGACCCTGCTGAAATGGAGTGTGTCTTACTAAGCTCAGTACATGGCAGCAACTGCTCCATCTAAAGAAGTGCTCCTTTGGCTTGGCAGCTCTGGTTGGTGTTTTGAATTGATATAAGGGGAGTATGTGTGTGTCGGGGGGGAATAGTAGTTCTTCTATGCCCTGAAGATATAAAAGCTGCTTCTGATATTTCTGTTGAATATACATTTTCACAAACGATATCTCTACACTTCCCAAATCACCCTTTCTTGGACTATGTGCTTAGGGATTTAAAAGTATTACTGTGCCTGAAAGGAGATGGGTTTTTTTATCTGCTCCAGACAAACCCCGTGGGCACTCTGGAGAATTTAACAAAACCAGCTTGTTTACCTCTTGTATGGCTTGAAGTGGTTTGCTCAGCTCTCTAGGAAGCCCTATTCAACCTCATTTAAATGTAGTAAACAAAAAGGGTCTCAAAATTGTGATTCAGCACTGTAACAAGATGCTGAGAGAGCTCCATTCCAAGCAGTGGAAGTGTATGGTTCCTAAGAGCTGGCCTAGAAATAGGATTCCCTGTTTTGAGGAGTGATTGGCCAGGGAAGCAGCTAAGACCCAGACAGCTTAGTCCTGTGTGTCAAATTGAAATGTGCATCAAGATGTGCTTTACATGTTGATGATCCTCACTAGCTGAGGAAAGGAAGAAGCTCAGCACCGCTATTACTCTGCTCACAGAGCTCAGAAGCATCCAGCTCCCTCTGCTTTGTGTTCATTTGTGAAAGCAGCTGAGTTGCATGACTTGGGAGTACTGAGGTCCTTGATGGGCTTCTGAGCTTGACACTGGGATGTTATGCCTTTCTCTAATGTGAAGCACCTTGTCCAGGTGTTCCACACTTCTTAGAGTATTGTGGAGCACAGCAGGAACTTGTGGAAGAAACCTTTGTAGTATTAAGTGTGAGTGTGATTCTTGTGGCTGGGTTAGTTTTTTTGTAATTTGGGGACAAATATTGTGAGAGTGACTTGTCAACATTGACTGTGGAACAGTACAGATGCTTTCGGGAAGCTAGTGTGTGACCTGTTTTATGTCAGTAAAACTAGATATTGATTATCATTTGAGAGCACCTGATTTATGTCCTGTTTTTGCCAAATTTTCCTGGGGTTTTATTACATGAAAATCAGACATATATAGAAACGAATCAGATGGCTTTGCTGTATTAAGCTATTTCAAGGAGGATGGAGACAAAGAGTACTCAGAGCCAAATCCTCCCTCTGACTGTCTGTAGTGAGTCACTAATTGCATACTGTGTATACTGACTAATAAAATATGTTGGCATAATACTGTTGTCCCATGTTGTAATTATACAAGATAGATTCAGCTATTTCAAAATGACAGCAACTGCCTGCACTCATCTTTGTGGAGGGAAGGGAACCTCAAATTAACTGAGACTGAAAAGGAGTTCTTCAGAGGTAGCAAGATGCCTGGGAATCTGAAAGCTAGATTATTAATTTTTTTATATTTCTAAACCTATTGTTTAAGCCTTTTTTAAGCAAGTTTAATGGTGTCTTCAGTGTAGCTCGACTTAGCCTGGAAGGTATCCATGTACTCCAATGGTACCTGGAAACCCAAGAGCTAATGTCAGTCTTGATCTTTGGAAGGAACTGATCGTTCCAAACGTGCCTGCCTGTGGACTGGTGCTATTACCGTATTTGGCATAAACAGGCAGCAGAGATGAAGAGTAGTTTATAGAAACAGAGCTCTCTCCGGTAGAGGCCCCGTTTCTCACAGACCGACAGTGGGATGAATACACGAAGCAGAAGTTAAAATTTGGTCCTGTTAACTGAACATGTGTTTACGGCAATTTTTATTAAGTTTGCTTTCAAGGGAAATGGTCCAAGTGCTATGCCAAGTAACTAAGAGTAGTATTTTGTAGTAGGATAGACAAGAGTGATTGTTGTGAGGGCTGCTGGTCCCTGTGACCTATACTGAGCCCCGTGTAGGACTGGGTGACCTCCTTCTGCTGTAGGATTGCTAAACAGGCCAGATACTCTCTTGAGGTTCTGTGCTGTCACCAGAAGCACCTGATCGTGTCAGGCAGGGCAAGAAACTGACTGGGGTCCCAAAACAATTTTGTCAGCCAATGTCTCTGGTAGTAACATCTGCTTTCTCATGGCTTTGTTTTGTTTTTGAAGATGTGTGTAAAACCAGTGCACCTTATGGGGGAGTTAATGATACCCCAGAGAGTGGATGATTTTGCTTGCAGTAAGGGTTCTACCTGACCAACTGATGCTGTTACTTGAAGTCGCAGAGCTGAAGATGTCCCCTTACTTTGTTTTTAAACTATTATTTTAAGGTTCCCTTCTTTCCCAAAGAGGTAGTTTGCCTAAGAGGGGCTTAAAATTGTCTTCACTTAGATCTGCAAGGAATTTGAATACAACAGCAGGTTTAGTGCTTTAATTTTTTCATTAGCCTGGAGATCAAGTGTGAAAGTTTAAAGAAGAGCAAACTCAATTAGATAAAAGAACAGTTTTAAATTTCAGGTTGTTAATACTCTGTTTTTCAGAGATACCAATATGAGCAAATGGAGGTTTGATACATTGCCAAAATCACTGGGACTGCCTTAGGTGTGAAAAGATCAAGCCCTGTGCACATATTCTGCCAGTACTCAAAACTTAGGACAGAAATAGTAAGCTCTGCTTCCAGTTTTGGCCCATCAGTTTGCTATGTGCCAGGAGGAGGGAAGACATGTTGATGAAACATGTAAGCAGGCTTTCCTGTCTGTGCCCTAGGTCATGCCAGGTTGCAGACTCTGACACGTGTTGCTGGGCTCATGTTAGCAAAGAATAGCAGTGATTTTGAAAGTAGATACTCCACTACATAAGCTTAATGGGGTTAAGACCAAGATCTGCTAATGGGATCAATAGGATCTTGCATCAACATAGAAGGAGCTGGATGTGCTGATGAATGCTGACTACCTGTCAGCTGTGTTAAATGCGGAAGGTGTTGCAAATGCATTTTATAGACTATCTCCTTGGGTGGTAAAACTTGGGCAAGGTGTGATGCCTGATGATGTGTGACAGTAACCCATGATTCTGGTGAAAAAAAGAGAAGTAAAAAAGTGTAGTGGTCAGGCTTTTCTCCTGAATGCTTTGTACTTTTGTAGGTAATTTTTTGTGCTCTCAGTAGAGCTGCTGTATTCGTTTAGGCATGTGAGGAAGGGGCCTTCAGGAAAGAGCCTTCTGACTGTAGTTGTGTAGGCTCTGCATGAAGACAATGATTGCAAATTGCTCTCTGCTAGCAAATACCTAATACTTCCACTCCCTTTTCCCTGTAGGTTACAGTATAGTTATAGGGTTTCTTATGACACTAGGCCTGCTTGGTGAAAACTTAGATCAGAGATTAAATATAAATTTTAGAATAGCAGACAGGAAAGCAAGAAATCTCCTCTTCTTTGGCCTCATAACAAGTCACCCTTTCTGTGCAGCTACATTCTTCCTGCCTGTCCATTTCATTGCAGTTCAATGCTTGAATCCTTCTAGAATTAACATGTTCAGGGCACTCTTTTTTTTTTTTTTTTTTCCTTCCTTTGTCAGACCAATGTTGTCTATAATGCTTGCAGATTAACCTTTCTGTTGAGAAGTAGCACTGTGAATACTTTTCAGAACTCACTAACATGTCTAATTTCTCCTTTGTCCACAAATGCAGATGATATGTCCTTTGATGTCTCCTGGTTCGCTGTGCATTCCTTTGCGTTGGACAGAGAGCCCATCTTACTGGCCTCGCTGGACCGGAGAGGGATTGTGACACAGAGCAGGAGAAATGGCAGCAGTGATCTCAGCCTGGAGAGAATCAGCCCACTGGAATTCCGGCTCCGTGTGCATGGCTGTGAGGACCATGACTTTGGGAACCACTACTGCGTAGTGACCCCATGGGTGCGATCTGCCACTGGTGTATGGCAGCAGGAGCCTGAAATCAAAGCCAAACCCATCTTTCTGTCTGTGAAAATGGATGGTAAGAGATTGCAATGTGTTACTCTATTTATTTTTAGCACATTTTTATGTCTTTCTGTGGTAAATATTTCCCATGACTATTTCTAAAGGTGTCTGTGATAATTTCATTAGATTTTGTTATCCTTTTGTATTGTTTACTACTTCTGAATCCAGATTCTGTAGACTAGGTAGGCCTGAAGAGATCGTAGTTTTAAGACTGGAGTGTTTTCTTTGCTGGTCATGTGTTGGTCATGTTTTGCATAGCTGAGACATCTTTCAGTCAAGGCATAGTATTCTCTCCAAGGGTTAACCCTTCTGCTGCCTGCAGAAGGAAGCCTTGTTTTGCAGATGGGGCGTGTTGAAATAGATTCGTGCCGTGGTTAGTATCAAAGCTAAGAACTAAGTCAGAGCTCTGGCTCCTTCCTCCCTCTCCTAACCACGAGACGTGCTGCTCTCTGCACTTAATGTCTTGTCTGCTTTCCAACCTGAGTTGCAAGCATTGCTAGACTTTGTGAGAAGTTGCACGCTACCCGGCTGCATTCAGCACATAGCTAAGGAGGGAAACTAATGCTGGAGGGGTTTTGAACTAGTTGCTTTCTTTTTAATATTTCTAGAAAAGGTCATATTGGGAGGTTCCAAGAGCTTGAAAGGAATTGAAAGTTTTTATTCTCCCTGCTATTATAACTGTACTTTACAAACTGCTACAGTTCTTGACTGTGCCTTTTAACTAAGCAGTTGGTGCTTACAAATCAAGTTTCTTGTTTAAGTATCAACTTTGGAGGTTGATTAGACAGGGTTGTTGAGTGGCAGTCAATATACTGTACGAGGAGGTCTAGTCAAGCAAAGTGTAAACTAGTCCACTTCTTGCCATTTGGAAACATAGTTCAAAGAGTGCAGCCACAGTCTGCCTCTGATGGGGAAATTTTGCAAGGCTTGTGTTTGGAGGAAGAGTTAATGGGATACCTCTAGGAACAAGCTCTACTTTGGTATCTCACTCCAAGGGTGCTTCCAGCCTCCTTGAGGTTTTGAGATGGTAGAAGAAGAATTAGGGTAAGGAGTTAAGGGAGTCCAATTTTCCAAACCTCAAATGACAGAAATCAAGAAGTATAAATAGTGTAACATCTTTCTGATAGAAAGATTGTGCCCATGGTTGAATAATGTGGGATTTTCTCCTTTTTTAGGCAAGAATTTCCCGCTCATATCTAATGACTTTGCGTTCCTCTTTCAGTTTTGAATGCTTTCAAGTATCCCCTGTTGATTGGCATCGGTCTGGCCACTGTCATTGGACTCTTATCCTGCCTCATTGGCTACTGCAGCTCCCGTTGGTGCTGCAAGAAGGAGGTGCAGGAAACGAGACGAGAGCGTCGCCGGCTAATGTCGATGGAGATGGACTGAGCGTGGGAGCTGGACACACTTGCATTTCAGCAGAGACTCACAGGGCTCTTGAACTGTGCCAAGACACTTGCTCACAGGCCTGGACAGCACAGTGTTTCTTCTCTTGATTTCAGCCTGGACCTCAAGCTTCTCCTTGTTACACATCATGTCCTGAGAGCATTCAGGCCATATTTAGCTACTCGGGAGTTCTCCTTTTCCAGCAGCACTTTCTGCATAGGGATCGTGTCCTTCTAATGTGCAAACTGTAGAGCCTTCTTTCAGCAGAGCCCTGTGACAAAATTCCCTAAGGGTTTTAGTTGGGTTTTTTTGTTTTTTTTTTCCCCTGCTCTTGGTTTTGAAAAGATGTCTGTGTATGAAAGCTTGATGGGCAATGCCATGGGTGGGAAAGGGGCTGGTAGAGGTGTTAGACTTTCGTTATATTAAGCTATCTACTTTTCCCCTCTACCCCTATCAGACCTTTTATATTTCTCTGTCCACTTTTGTATCTCCCAGACTTCGTTGTGTTGGGTTGAAGGCTGGAGAAGGTTCCTCTGCTGGTGGCTCATGAGACTGTTCCAGCAACGAATTGGTCTATGGTTGTCAGCGTGCCCTCTCTTCCCCGGCTTTCAAAGGGTTTGCAGTTAACCCCAAAACAAAACTTGCCTGGAGGCCTTTGAGACACTGTTTAAAAACTTTTTTTTTTTCGGTGCTCAGAGCTCTTAGCTGTGGTGAATAGGGCTAACTCAGCAATTCTGAAGAGCCAATCCTCAGATAAGCATTTGTTGGATGTCTGCTTACGGCCACCTTCCCCCTCTTGCTTCCACCTTCTTTTCTCCCCACTACAGCTGCTCACGTTGTGCCTGAGACCCTGTTCTGCTTGTGTCAGGGGGGCACGTGGTGTCTAGGGACAAGGCCCAGCCTTCTGCTGGCCTCAGCAGAGAGGTGGGAGACCTTGTCCCCCTGGTGATGATGTGACTTATGGAAAGAAAAAAATAAAAGGAGATGGATCTTTGCAGTTGGCCAACCAATCGTGCTTAGAGAAGATTAGTAAACTAGGTATTACCAAATGCACAGACCAGACTCCAATGCTGCTTCTGCCAGTCACTTGGTGGTAACCCTTGAACCTGTGAGCAGAGTCTGAGATCTGCAGTAACTGAAGTGCAGCTCAGGGTAGGAATAGGAGCAAGCCCAAGAAGTCAGTGAGAATCCTTCAGTTTCCAGTGGTCCTGATCTTGTGCATGGGCCTGCAGCAGAGCTTTCCTCATGGGTTTGAGACCTATTCCTAGGTGCTATAATAGAGAAGTCCTCCTTTGGTCTTCCACATAGGCTGACCTGCCTCCTGAATGGGAGCAGCTCCTTTTCCAGGCAGTTCTGTCTTCCCAGCACATCTGGTATTTTAAGCAATAAAAGTCAGAATAAAGATAACTGCATAAAAACAAACAAGGAAAGCAGGACTGGCCGCAATCTGATGTCACAGCCAGGGCTTGACTGTGAGAAATGTGGAGTTGAGGGCTCAATGCCTCCCAGATTTTTCTAAGATAAAGGATGCTAAAGGAGAGCATCCATGGAAGGTAGTGGCTGTGGTGTACTGTTGCCAGTTTAGACATTAGTTATGTACTAAATGACTTGTTTCACTAATAGCTTATCCCACTCCACATTCCAGGGGAGCTGCAGGCCTAGTATCTGTGCTATGAAGGGTTTGGTGAAACCTTGCACTCAACACTGTAGCTATTCTAAAATTGGGCAAGGGTTGTAGTAAGTTTTCTTTGTATGATTTGGGTTTTTTTTAATCCTGTCTCACATTGTGACCTTTGTTCTGAGGCTGATGTGAGAGTTTTTTTCTAGAAGGCTGTTCGGCTTCCTGCATGTGAACACATATGCAGTCACGTGTGCGTATGTATGCATAGAGATGTCCGATGACTTTTGGAAGCTGAACGTGAAAAATCTTCAAAATGGACTTGATGTGCAGAGTTGGGGCTTGCAACTTGTTATTTGACTCTTTAAGACATTTCGTGTATTATTCCAAACCTAGGACACTACAAATCTCTGGAAGACTTTGGCCTGAGCATCCTTAGAAACTTTCCTTTCTGGCCTGATGTTTTCCTTTCTGGCCTGATGTTTTCCTTTCTGAAAGAGCTCTGAAAAGGCCTATATTGCAGGTAGATGTAGCTGCTTCTGCTGCAAAAGCCCAGAAATGTGTAGTGATGTTTTCCAAAAGAAGGGAGTTGAGGGAATGGTTCACTCAGATGTTACTTTGACAGCAAGAATTTTTCCTCCTCTCCTGTCTGCTGTAGTGCAATCTTGCTTATTACTTGGATGTCATGAAACACCATTCTGATGTTTGGGATGCTGGCTGTCCTTCCCACACTCATCTAGCAGCTTCTTTCCTGCACTGACATTCACTTTCTTCATGGAAGAACAGTGACATTGGGGCATCTTGGGAGGGGTGGTAGTAGTGTTCGAAGCACAGCCTCAGTCGCTTTGTGTCGTTGCAGACTGACTCCTTGTTTATGTGCTCTTGGTTAAGTTTTAAGGGGAGAGGATCATGACTGTAATGCAATAATTAGGGAATGAATGAGCAGGGAACCTCCTACAAGCACACAACATAGCACACCTTCTCCCTGCTGGAAAAAACTCAGGGTTATTTTGGTCAGGGCTCCCTGCTCCTCTAGTGAAAGGTCCCCAAGTCTTTAGCTAATGCTGACCTTCCTTCATGGCCCATAACAAACCATCTTTGTCATTCCAAGTGAAGCAGATTTGCTGCTAGCTCGTACTGCTGCCAGACCCTTGGAAGGCAATGCTGCATCCCCCTCCGCCCTGTATTTGCTGTAGCTGGAAGCCTAGAGGCTGAGGGGCTAGACTTAACCCCGCAGGTTTCCTTCTACTTGTGCCAATTTTGTATTACCCCATTTTTTAAAATAGAGTGGGAATTTTATCTCTAATGAAAGAAAAATTATGTCACTTCTCATGTTTTTTATTATTATTTCCTGTGTGACCAGGGTTCGTGTGAGTGGAGGTGTGTGTGCATCTGGTTGTGTATTAAACCTGCAGAGTATCAGAAGAGTAAACTGCCTGAGATACAGTGCAAGCAACCATATCCTCCCTGCTGCAACCTGTGGTATTGTCAGAGTATCCTAAGGGCTCACGTTGATCTTCCTTTGTTCACATTGCCACATCTCCTGGTTAAGCTGGTAAATTCCTCCAGGCACTTTGAATTTCAATCCAGGACAAGCTTGAACATCATATAGCAAAAGGGCGAGATATTTTATTTCTTTTGTTTTAATTTCAAGGTTATAAAGTGTTTGGCACAATTCTGGAATGCAGGTACCGAATAGTTCTAATGATGCTGTGTAAAATGTTTCTTTTTATGTTTAAAATAAAGAGCGAGCCTTTTTGATTATGTCTGTGCTTTGGGTCTGGATATTTGAGCTGTGGGCAGTTTTTTCCTTGTACCCTGCATGTATGCAGACACTATTTTTGAGGCAAGGGTGTCAAATGTAAACCTTACAGTCCTGTTACCAGCGCTGTTTACCCTGTAAAATAAGCATGAACCCTATTTTATAGTAAGCTATATAATGAATTGGGGAATGTAATTGTTTTCTGAGTCTGTCCTCTTTCAACCCCACTGTAAGTCAGCCTTTTTTGTTGCGGGAGTTTCCTTTGGATTATGTAGGGCCAGGAGTGTCACAGTTAGGGGGAGTGTGTGTGTTTAATATCTGCTGTAAAACCTAGGCATTAGATATTGAGCCTTTCTTGAACTCTTTCTGAGGCTTCTAATTTCCAAGATGTCAGGAGGAAAATCAATAGTATTGGAAGCAAACTTCCTGCTTACCTTGCCAATGACTGAATTTAGGATTTTATTTTGCCCCAGCAATCATGTAAGGATACCATGATTGAAAGCAAACCTCCTTGCTGTACTAACAAGAGGTTGTCTGAGGCAGAAATGGTTGCGGGAGGCCAAGACAGGCTTTGGCCAGGTGGGTTTGTGCTCACACTGGTGCATGCTCCGAGATGGCTGTACTGCAGGCCAGTTAACAGCCAAGTGTGTACCTTTTGGCTTCTTTTCAGACTGTGGTGTTGCAGCTGTTACAGAAAGATACTCTCTTTAGAGTGTCCTTACAGGAAGCTGGGAGGTGGCACCAAGCTGTTAGATCTTAATAGGTGGCATGAACTGTCAGCTGATATAGAGAAACGTCATAAATGGCCACTGATGCCTCAGCAGAGCCTTTGGCAGCTGTAAATTTTTTAACATATACACATCCACAAGTAATGAGTGGCATGCTTGTGGGACAGCAGTCATTTGCCTCTAGCTGTGCAAGTTACAGCTGACTTCGTAAGTTTGGATTAGCTTTATGAAATCCTTTTGCCTCCCCCCCACCCCTGGGATGACCTGGATCTTAATACTCTTCTTGTAAATGTGCTAGGATTTTATCATAAAAAAAGAAAACTGAAACTTGAAGTCTGGAGATGAAAGGGGATACTTGTGAGTAACTGCCTAAGTGTTGCAGTGAATGATGGAGGTTACCAGGTCTTCAGCATCACCTTGTATCTGTCGTGGGTTTAGCTCAGCTACTGGCCTATAGAAGTTACCTCGCTGCCTACTGTCATGGAGGCAGTCTGAAAAGCACTTTTGTGCCAGAGCCTGAGAATTTAGTTGTTTCTATAAGCACTGGGCTCAGACAACATGCTTGGCTGTTCTACAACAGACCCTAGTTGTGCTGTGATGGCTCTGGCTGACCACCCTACCCAAGTCAGGGCCAATCCTAAAACCTCCGCTGGACTGAAGCTGACTGGTGCCAAGTACGATGAGTGAGAAGACCTGCCCTCCTCTTCATCATGTGAAGGTGAAGCTCAGTCATGGAATTCTTCCAAGGAAATGTATGGCTTTTGCCTTTTCGTTGGGACTTTCTACATTTCTGATTGTAGCGAGCTGAGATCTGCACAGCAGATATCAGGACAGGTGGTGTTTCAAGAAGAGCCTTTAGCAACTGATCAAAGCTGTGAGATGTGCTAGCTGAATT